GGAACAGTAAGGAAAAACAGAAAAGATATGCCCCATATCGAGGGAAATATGAAGAAAGGAAAATTTGATTATCGATGTACAGATAATTTATTGGCATTGAGATGGCGAGATAAAAAAGATTTGTGGATGTTAACGAGTGCTCACGAACCTAAAATGACAGAAGCTGGTCGCATAAATCATATTACAGGATCGCAGAAGTTAAAACCAGAATGTGTTGCAGATTACAACATCAAGATGTGTACTTCTGTGGACCGTGTTGATATGGTTTTAAGCACGATTAATTCATCTAGAAAATGTCTAAAATGGTATAAGAAGTTTTTTTCCATTTATTAGACATCGCACTATATAATTCATATGTCCTATATCTGAATATTACTGGCAAAAAATTAAAATATAACGATTTCCACCTATCACTAATAAAACAAATTCTGCAAAAATATCCACAAAATAGGAAACAAGCGGGTGGTGGGAAAAGAAATACAGAAAATTTACCATTTCGTCTGACGGAGAGACATTTCCCTTAGAAAATTTTGAATGCAGCAGGCAACATAACAAGAAGAAAATGTGTTGTCTGCAAGAAACACAAAAAAAGGAGGGATACCCCATATGAATGTAAGAAATGCGACATAGGACTGTGTGTTGATAATTGCTTTGAGATTTATCATACACAAATGAATTATTAATTTTCTTTTTGTTCTTCAAATTTTAGTATCCAAATATATTATAATTATCAAATTAAAACTTTAACGTTTTAAAATTTTAAAACTTTAAAACTTTAACAATGGTGAATAAATAGTATATAACAAATAAAAAATGTTTGGATTTTTTAGAACAGACAAAGTAATAATAATTGTTTACTATGTGTACTATATTATAAAGTGTTAGTACGCCGCCGACGAGGTCCATACTGCGCGAAAAAGTATTCAGGCCCCAGCGATTGCATCCGTGGGCCGCATGCCGCACACGCGAAGCGCTTCAACTTAGAACAGCTAGCAGTCAAAGGATTAATGACTTAAACACTTTCCTTTCTACATAAATATCATCTTGTATTAATTATAATTATAGATCTATTAATCTATTAATTATAGACCTAGAAACGTTAAAGAGTTACGGTACGTGTAATGGGGTTTACTTATGACACCTCAAGGATTTCGACTTTCGTTCTGTAAATATATCATTTAGATCTGACTGTCTTATTCTATTATGTACATCGCGGCGATTATTATGAACACATAAAATTCCTCATATTGAAAGTCAAAAATGTTTCACGCTCAGTAAATAATATTAGATGATATTTATGTACTATAAAATGGTGTTCATAGTGATTTTTGCAATTTGTACAGTAATATTAAACGATCAGATTTATACAATATGTTGATAGAATGAATGTCTAAAATTTTGAATTTTAGTATGTAAACCTCATTCCACGTAACAAAAAACCTGAAATGATTCAGCCTGGATAAATAGTATTCGATGATATGTATGCAAAATATAATGGTGCTCACACCGATCCCCGTAATGCGTAGAATGTTATGGAAATTTCTGACCTAAAAAATGTATAAACAGAATTTGTTTCGGAAATTATGAATGTTCATAAGTAATACTCATTCCAGGTACCGGAATTCCGTAGTATTTCAGGCTCGACAAATAATATTACATGATATTTAAGTACAAATATTGTTAGTACAACAAATAATGATTCTCGCGGTTTGCAAAATAATATATAATATAAAACAATCAGATGGGTATGATTTATTGACAGAATGAATGCAGAAAATATCGAAATGTCATATCTAAAACTCATTTCACGTACTGGAAGACCATCTTCTTTCAGGATAGATAAATAATAACAGATATTATTTATGAATAAAAAAATGGTTTACATAGAGATCCCCGCTATCCGTAAGGTAATATTGACTTTCAGACCGATATGAAATATTCACAGAATGAGTGCAGTATATTTTAAGGTGACCTATATAAACCTCATTCGATGTATAGTAACCGTAATATTACACGATTTGTAAATAATATTTGATGATAATTATGTCCAAAAATATGGCATGTAATGTGTAGGATTCATTATCAGACCATCGGATAGAGATATTGTGACAATATGTATGTCGAAAAATTTGTGGTGTCATATGTAAGTCCCGATCAGTACTGTAGGACAGTCATGGTACATTGGCGATTGATAATATTAGATCGTCTTTATATTAAAGAATTATGTTCACTGTAAAGCCAGAAATAAATAGAAATTTGTCGTCGTTATATATTAAAAAATTATGTTTGTAGTAACCGCGAGATCAGTAGAACAATATAGAACAATCAGATCGGGATAATATAATGGTACGGTGTATGTCGACAACTTTCAAAGCGCATATTATCCACATACAACGTACCTGAAAACCGTAATATTTCAGTAAATATGTATTGTATCGTAGTTGTGAGTTATAAAATTGCGTTCATATTGATCGCAGCGGTACTTAGAACAGTATAATGCAATCATATCGAGTTTATATATTGATACTGTGAATTTCGAGAGTTTTCAATAAACATATGAAAACCCCGTTCCACGTTCCGGAACACAGTAATATTTCAAAATCGATAATTAATAGTAGATCGCCGTTATATGTTAAAAAATTATATTCGTAGTTTTCTGAGCGACACGTAGAATAATATAAAACCATTAGAACGATATGATATGTTGACAGAAATTACGGCTAATATTATAAAATTTTACATAAACCGAACCGAACCGGACTCTAAACCGTACAAGAGGACAATAACAATTCTAGGTCTTTAAATAATGGTATATAATTGTTTTATATTGAAAAATTTGGTTCATTGTGATCCCCGCGATTCGAAGAGTAATATGAGACTATTAAATCCAGATAATTTACCGATACGGTGAATGTCGAGAATTTTCAAAGAGCTTATGTAA